TATAAACAATAATGACTCTTCCCCCAGCTTCAGTGACCCACAGCAAACCTTCAGCTGTCCTGCTGCAGGGCTCCCATGAACTCGTGTGTCTGGTGTACGGATTCAGCCCAGCATCCATTAACATCACTTGGTTTCGCGATGCAAACAATGAGCTGAAGGATTATAACACAACTGAGCCCCACTTAGGCGCAGATGGGAAATTCAGCATCAGAAGCCACCTTCGTGTGTCTGACATCGACTCCTTACCTGGAGTSGTTCTGACCTGCAAGGTGACTCATGAAAACACCATCCTCTCACTGAATATATCTATACCAGGTGGGTGACGTGCAATTTTTTATTTATTTATTTTTCGTTCTTGAATATTAAAGCGAAACCTAGCACTTTGCTTCCCTTTATTAAAGCAACAAAATGATAATTAAGTAAAGGAAAATCAATAATTAATGATCTGATTTTTACAGATACCATGGAGAAGTGTCATGTATTTGATGAAATCAAGCATGCTGACGTGAACCAAGACTCACTACAACAAACCTGGACTGTGGCTTTTACCTTCCTCCTCTTTTTCCTCTTTTCTGCCATGTTTTCTGTCACCGTCATAATTATTAAGGTAAGAATCAGGATTCATTTGACTATTTTCTAGTGTGGCTTTAACATCTGTGTCTAATCAAATACAGTTGATTCTTTGTATGGTTAGAAATGGTAAATGCTAACATGTTTCCTGTTTTTCTTTTCCTTTTAGAATAAATGATGACAAAAACCGGGAGATCCATTTAACTCACTTTGGACATACTGTATTTAGACTTTTATGAAATGACGTGTTTTCATTTTTTAAAGGTAACAAACCTGTTTCCTTCATGTTTCTGTTCCTGAGTTGTATGGCTTTGGTTTATAATGTATCCATTTATTTGTATCTGGTGTGGAGTGCTGTGAATAAATGCAATTCAAAAGGCTGAAGCGGCGTATTTATTATTAACTTCACTTTCACTCATTCATCTTATTTCATGTGTAAAAACACAACATTTTTTATTAATTACGAAACATTGGAATATATTAACCAATGTTTATTCTTTAATAACATATTTCAGTAGAACTACACTTTCAGAATGCTTGTAATGCAGTCATTCGTCCACAAGATGGCAGCAAAGTTCTATTTGTTTCAACCTCTGAAAAAGACGCTCATTAAAATCTGAACTGGAATTTTGTTACTAGTGAAAAAGAAAGAAAGGAGGTCAGGTTTTTTTTTAATAAAAACGTTTTATTAAACTTTTTTTTGCATATTTTTACATTATAGTCATTATTTAGTTTATATGTGCCCAGTTTCAGAGTTAAAGCTGCACATTGGTGTTTGTTTTAACATCTGAAGAGGATRTCACAAGCTACATCCAGATTTACTATTGGGTACCTTTCGGTTGATCTGGCACAGTGTTCATCCTGATTGGCTGAGGATCTTGTGGCAGCCTGCCTAAAGCTGTGACGCTGTTGCTGGGAGGGAGCTAACAGACAGTACTGCTGCCAGTTTGATGCCAAGAGGCCAGGAAAAGGTAAGGAGGGCACCATTTCCCAAGAGGCTGCCCCGAGGAGAATCTCTTTCTGACTTTACACCCCCCTATACTTTCCTACAATGCCTCGTTAATCATCTGTGTGTACTTGCAGTTTGCAATCGAATATTTGGGGACAGTTTAAACCAGGTGATAAAAAAATTGCAAAATACTTTTAAAAAAGATGTGCATCACGTCAATAAAAACAAAACCAGCATTTTTTTCTTATTATATCATTGAATTTTTAATCTATTTGCAATAAAAAATAAAATATGTGTAAAAAAGGTGTATGTGTGTGAGCCTGACTGAGTTCATATTCTCTTTAAAACAACTCAGATGCTCTGTGTTCTAAAATTGTGAAGGAAAAATGGCGAAGMAGGAAACACTCAGCAGACAGATTCCCACATTTTTTCCATAATTTAATAATCTTCAAAGAGGAAGATTCGTCTCAGACTGCACAGTGGATTAGTGAYTAGCAGTGTTGCCTCACAGGAAGAAGGCTCAGGCCGTGAACTTGGGCCTGAGTTTGCATGTCCTTTTTGTGTTTGTGTGGGTTTTCTCTGAGTACTCCGGTTTCCTCCCACAATCCAGAAACAAGCGTGTTTAGGCTGCCTTCAGGCTCCTGTTTCTGTTGAAACTGAGATTTGTGATCTTAATGGAATTTGTCTCATTGAAAAAATATTAATAATAATGTCTGTTTTTAACCATATTTTCAAAACATTATAAAAAAACAGCACGTCAGTCTTCAGTTTAAACTCGTGACTTAGCTAAATAAAAGCAGAGAGACACACCCCAAAATAAAACCAGCAATTTCAACTTAACTTTTAGGTTTAAAWGTTGAGACTTGTGCAAACTGCTCAATAGAGGCTTCTTGAAAACTTTGACAACACTGCCCTCTATCGGACAACATATTAATCACAAGTGAAAATGTGTGGGGGGGAAAAGAAAAACAGTGCAGATAAGAACATGGGCCTTTTTCATTTCAAATGAATGCCTAGTATTGTTTTGTAAAACAACTGTTACTGATTTTTAACTCTCCTAAAGACAAACCTCCATCTTGCCTTTAAAAAAGCTGATTTTTTCACAGTCAAGCACACAATATGGTTTTCTGTTCAGCCCCAATTAAATTTCTTAATATTGTTTTAATGTTATAGATTAATGATATAAAAACTACAAACATGTACAAATACCATATAATAAATATGAATTAATAAATACATTCATTAACACAATGTATAGTTTGGGTCTTTATCCATTAATATTAAAACCTACAAGAATCACAATACTTACTGCTACAATAATTGATAATATATATTTTAATGTAAGAGATGGAGAAGTGTTGAGTGGCCTTTTGACAATTGATGTAAGTGATCATTTACCAGTTTTTACTGTTTATAAAAATCATCAATGTAGAAGATCTGTTGCTACAACAAAAAAGAAAAAAAGTTTAATGCATCAAAAAAAAAAAAGCTTTGGATAAATTGAAAGATGATTTAACCAAACAAAATTGGAAAGATATATATGTCAATGATGTCAGCAAAGCATATG